TTTTCCTACAGACGGTGGGAGGCAGTGTCCCCGAATGTCTCATGCCGGCCGTCAGCAAATACAGACAGAGCAGGCCTGCCTGCCCGGGCCGGTCGGTGACAGGTCAGCGGCCGCCCTCCCGGCCCTGCATCCCCTCCCGGCCCTGCATCCCCGCAGACAGACCATAAAGAGGAGCCCAGGGAAGCAGGCCGGAGCTCTAGCGACCAGACACCCCGGCTTGCAACTGGTCAAACACAAGAGACACAGGACACCCCGTCTTTGTCCCGAAGACAAAAGCTTTGCATGTTGCACGCCGGTTCCCTTTCGCTGTGGCTGGAAGGCTGGCTACGGTGAGAAGGGAACAGTGCAAAGGAGAGAAACTGGGTGAGCGTCTGATGACGTGTGGGGAGAGTGATAATGGAGCGAGAGGCTGGCGGGGAAGGATGGGGGACAATGGCTCCTGGGTCTGATGGGGAAGGAGGCCGGACAGGCACCCAATCAACCCTGATTCCCCCGGGGGCTGGCTTATCTCTCCATCGGCCCTCCCACAGTCACCCAGCGCTGGGAGCTTGGTCGCTTTCCCTGTCCCCCTTCCTGATGCGATGGGTGGCCTGGTTCCCGCAACCCCAGGCGGCCAGTTCTTCACTCGTGGCCTCTAAAAAGAAGGAGGGTGTTTCCCGTGGCCCTGGCTCACTCCGATGCCCTCTTTCCCAACTGGTCACTCCGGGCATCTCGCCGTGAAGCCCACCATGTTCTGGGGACCCCGGCCTCCCAGGAGGGAAGGGCTGAGCCTGCTCCCTCAAAGCGAGTGTCTGTGCCTTTGCTCACATGCGCTCTCTCTACCCAGAAAGCCAAGCCATTCCGCCCAAAGGTCGTAATCTGACCTTGGTTTCCAAAATCCAGGTCCTCCGGGCAGCTTTTCCGGACGCCTGCCCTCACTTCACCTTCCCTGCTCAGCGGAGTTTTGTGACTCGATCGTGAAGACGGTTCAGTGCGGCCAGCAGTTCCCACATACATCGGCCTCTCCCCTCCCTTCACAAAACCCAAGTGAGTCCCAGGCAGATGCTCAGGACGTGTTGACTGACTTGTTGGACTGAATGACTGGGGACATGACAGTTGTGATCAATCAAGAGTCCACAGTCAGCCACGGCCGGGCGGCGTGGCTCAGTGGTTGAGCATCGACCTATGAACCAGGAGGTCTCGGTTCCATTCCCGGTTGGGGCACAGGCCCGGGTTGCATGCTCAATGCCCAGTAGGGGGCGTGCAGGAGGCAACTGATCCATGATTCTCTCTCATCATTGATGTTTCTACCTCCCTCTCCCTTCCTCTCTGAAATCAATAAAAAGACTTTTTTTTTTAAATGGTGACTGTGGACTCTTATTTTTAAAGAGTCCACAGTCACCATTTCTCAGGCCACCCGGAGAGCAGAGCCTGCTGCGAGTAGAGATGTCACCTGATTTATTAATTAATGTGAACACCATTCATCCCAAAGCTCCAGGGCATAGTTTAAAAAAAAATCCAGAGTGCTTCAAAAACGATAAAAATAGCATTTCACCGTCTAGAAATAGCTGAACTTTATTCCTAGTACGCTGGTCCCAGCATCAATCCCCACTTCCCGCCTCCCAGCCCGCATCAGCCCTCACCAATCGGTCGCCCCCTTTCCCCACCTTGCCCACCATGGCCCCCGTGCCCACCGTGCCCACGTGCTGTCTTTGCTGAGTAACAGAATTCCCGCCAGGGAGGGCTAATTGGGTTAATACCTAATTGTTCTCTCTCTGTAGCCCAACCCAGCACCCTGGCTGCTTTCCGACTACCTGCCCCGCATCTGTCCCAGGATCACTCATTTGCAAGAACAACGTCCATTGTGGGCCGCCTGTGGGACTTTGGGGTTTGAAGTGAATCTCCCCCAGGCAGAGAACAGAAGATGCTGCTATTTTGGTTGGTCTGGCGGACAATGGGGCCATTCTCCGGGCTTGATGGGCATGTGGGAAATCTGAGATGCCCTGGGACCCGGCCAGAGCCCAGGGTGCTGAGCGGGGAGGGAGGGGAGCAGGTGGGGGCAGCATCCTGACCTCTTCTTCCCCGCTGACTTGGGTTTGCATTTCATTTTAATCAGTTTCAGATGAAACGGACCAGCCAGGAGCCTCTGGAATCTCAGGGCCCTCACCTTTGTCCTTTGGCCCAAGCACTGAGGAGGCGCGGGGTTGACCTGGCCTGGCCCAGCTTTCCCCGGAGGAGGCAGCGCTGAGGGTGGCCTTTCCCATCCCCCAGGCTCAGGGGGAGCCTGCTCTCCCGCAAACACCCTTGGAAAAGACAAGGCATCTTTGCCTGTTGTTTTTTGAGGTGTGTTCGCTCTGCTTCAATCTGTCCCACCTGGAAGGGCTCCTCACCTGCCCCGACCATGGCAATGCCAGCCTCCTGGAGCGGGGTGTACCTGGGGCAGAGAGAGACCCTCTGAGTCGCACCTGGGGGGATGGCTTCTAGGGGGCGGGTGGCATGAGGGTGCTAGCGCGGCCTGTGATCTCCGATCCCCTGCAGGGGGCTCTGGGAAGGTGCTTGGCTTCTTAGGGTGACTTCTCTCTCTGCTGTCGCCCCTCCCTCCCTGTCCTGCCCCCCCCCCTCAGCCTCCAGGTCGTCCTTGTCCTTGCTGTCCCTCGGCAACTCCAGGGCCCACGTCACAGGATCTGGGGGAGCCGCATGGGGGTGCTCCATCAATGCCCATCTCTGCCTCTGGCTTGTTTGCAAACTGGCCTCACCCCTCCCTCTGCTCTCAGGAGCACGTGAGCGCCTCTGCTTGCACGGTAGCCCCCCTGGTGAGGTGACTGACACGGAGGAGGTGCTCAATAAGTACGCCATGTCCTGACCGGTGTGGCTCAGTGGATAGAGCGTCGACCTGCGGACTGAAGGGTCCCAGGTTCGATTCTGATCAAGGGCATGTACCTTGGTTGCGGGCACATCCCCAGTAGGGGGTGTATAGGAGGCAGCTGGTCGATGTTTCTAACTCTCTATCCCTCTCCCTTCCTGTCTGTAAAAAATTAATAAAACATATTTTTTTAAAAATAAGTACACCATGAATTCAACTGGCTGGGAAGTTCCCGCCGATCAAACAAGAGCCCAGGCTCTGTCCCCAAAGGAAGGGATTGAGCAAAAGGCAACCAAACCCACCACCACCCACCAGCTAAGCGAGGGTGCGGGCCCCCTGGGGACGATTTCCTTGGGGGAGACCGGGCGTCTCCATGCGACTGTCTGCGCACCACTGCCCTCCGCTGGACGCTGGGCCAAAGCGGCCCCAGACCCGCTCCCTGTCGGAACACTTCCCTCCCCATCTGGATGTGACTACTGGGCAAACCGGTTTCTGGGCTGGCTCCCCTTACCAGGTCTGCCCCCCCCCCGCCCCCACCCTCTCTGGCTGCCAGCATTGAGTCCATGAAACCTGGGAAGGCACGGGGCACAGGGCTTCTTGGACTCCTAGCATCGTGGGTGCAGGCAGGCGCTCCTGGCACGATGGTGACGATGAATATCAGAATCCACATAAGAGCCCACCCTCGTTCCGAGTCTAGAACAGCTCTGGCTCTGACAGTTTGGGGAAGACAGCCGAGAACCGCACAAAGGGGCAAAGAGCTCCAGGAAGAAGAATTCAAAAACAACTTGTCATTTCTCTGTGTCTCAACAAAAACAGAACCTTCCTCCTCTGGGAAAAGATAGAGGCGAGGAAAAAGGAACGCGGGCACTGCCAAGCCCTGTGGCTGAGACCTGCCCTCCCTCCCTCCTCTGTCTTCAATGACAGGGACTGGAGAATCGGCCTTATTTCCTCTGCCCCGACCTCGTTAGCTTGTAAGCACTTTGCCCCGCACAATGACTGGCCCGCGAAAGGCCTGCAACACAGAGTTCCTGAACTCCTGGCAGGCGGATCTGGTTGATGAGTGGCTAAGACGTTGCCAATGGCAATAGTGAAAGAAGTCAAAGTGGAGGCAGCACGCGGATTGCGTATATACCGTTGCTTCAATTTGCTGAGGAATTGTTTCAGCTCCCCAAAATTGAACCCCGGGGTGAGCCCGGGGCCAGGCAGGCATGTGGATACATGAAGCTGAAGCTCTGGGAGGAATTCTGCACGAGGCAGAAACCCAGGAGTCACACGGCCTGGAGGTGGACGTGGGAACCCAGCAAGGACTGTAGAGCAAGCATGTCAAACTCGCGGCCCGCGGGCCGCATGCCGCATTTATTTGGCCCGCGTTAGCCTTTGAGTTTGACATTAGGGAACATCTGGGAGGTGAAGAAATAGTCTGTGTTTGGATTGGGGTAGTGGGCATATGGGGTATATACCCAGTGGGTACATTTGTCAAAAATGCATCAAATTGGGCATTTAAAAGTTTTCGGTGGCGTGTGGTGAACACACGACGGAGTGCACGGATGATGGATGATGGAGTGGTAGACTTAAAACCTGTATACTTGTATTATTAACCAAGGTCGCTCCAATAAATCCAATTAAAAAATAAAGAGCTTGCCCTAGCCGGTTTGGCTCAGTGGATAGAGCGTCCACCTGCGGACTGAAGGGTCCCAGGTTCAATTCCAGTCAAGGGCACATGCCTGGGTTGCAGGCTCCATCCCCAGTGGGGGGCGTGCAGGAGGCAGACGATCAGTGATTCTCTCTCATCACTGATGTTTCTATCTCTCTCTCCCTCTCCTTTCCTTTCTGAAATCAATAAAAATATTTAAAATAATAATAATAAAAATAAAGAGCTTCCGGTTGCACTCTTGTGTTTATGTCTCCCCTCTCCTTACTCGACTGTGGTGTTGTTGATGGAACCCGGGCCTTTCACCATTGCGCACAGGGCGGCGGGACGGATGCTCCTCCAGTCCTGCAGGGGGCGCTGTGGGACCGCCCAGCTGCCTCCCCGCTCTCGACTGCTCTGGGCCGCTCCCCCCCACAAAAAAACACACGCTCGGGGCCCCGCCCCTTTGCAACAACCCTACTTCTCATTGGTCAGGACCCGTCCAATGAAACGAGGCGTTGGTGCGAGGTCGCAACCACCTTAGTCGGCTGGGCCCGGGTGTCGGGTGGTGGCGGCGGCGGGAGGTAGGAAGGTAGGTGGGCCGGGTCGCGCCGCTCCGGTCCCGGCCTTGCCTCCCTGTCCGGTTCCGCCGCGGGCCCACGATGCCGCAGTTCCAGACCTGGGAGGAGTTCAGTCGCGCGGCCGAGAAGCTCTACCTCGCCGACCCCATGAAGGTAAGCGGCGGGCAGGCCGGTGCCTCTGGCCGCAGCCCCAGCCCCAGGTCGGGGGTCTCCCCGGCCTCCCGCCCGGCCCCGGAGGCTGCTCCGCACCGGGGAGGGGCCGGGGTGGAGAGAGACGGACCCCTCCACGTCCCACCGCTCCTCCTGCCTCCTCTCCGGTGAACGGCCCGGTAAGGCCTCGAAATGGGCAAGAATCGGGGTCCTTTGGGGGCCCTAAGCCGCTCCGCCGCCGGCCTTTCTCCGCCCCGAACCCCGAGGACCTTCGTGGGTTTACGTGTCTCTAAGGGCCGGGCTCCTCCCCCGCAGCTTCACTTCCTGTCCCTGGATCTGCTGCCCATTTCCCCCTGCGCCAGGGCGTTGGGGTGCCTCGGGTCCATTAAAACGGTTATTTTATTTTATTTTTTTCTGACACCGCCGAAACGTGCTTGAAAAACCCCCAGTTTGGAGGCGTCGACGCCCCTGAGACTAGTGCTGCTTCATCAGATGGAGGGTGTGGGGGTGCTGGCTCAGCACGATGCACTTGAACGGCAAGGTTTGCAGACAGTTTTAGGGGGGCCTGTGGCTTCATTCAGCTCCGCCCCCCTCCCCCTACAGAAGTTAGGTCATTATTTTAAAAGCTAAGGTTTGCCCCGGTCGTTTGGCTCATTGGGTAGAGCGTCGGCCTGCGGACTGAAGGGTCCCGGGTTTGATTCCGGGTTTGATTCCGGCCAAGGGCACCTGCCCGGGTTAAGGGCTCGATCCAGCAGGAGGCAGATGATCCATGATTCTCTCTCATCATTGATGTTTCTATTTCTCCCTTCCTGTCTGAAATCAATAAAAATATTTTTAAATAAGTAAATAAAAAGCTAAGGTTTGTCTTGCGGTCATGTCTAAAACTCACTTGGAACCCCCGCTTGTTAACGAAAAGTCCTGCCAGCTCTCCAGACCTTGGGAGGGAACCAGAAGCTGTAGAATGTTTTGTTCCATTCTTTACCATAAGGTGATAATGAAGCCCTGACCGGTTTGGCTCAGTGGATAGAGCGTCGGCCTGCGGACTGAAAGGTCCCAGGTTCGATACCGGTCAAGGGCATGTACCTTGGTTGCGGGCACATCCCCAGTGGGAGATGTGCAGGAGGCAGCTGATCGATGTTTCTCTCTCATCGATGTTTCTAGCTCTCTATCCCTCTCCCTTCCTCTCTGTAAAAAATCAATAAAATATATTTTAAAAAATGAAATCAATAATTAATAATAATAATGATAATAGTAATAAAACGATTCTTTTTTTAAAAAAAAAGATGATAATGAATGATTGGATGAATTAGACGTTTTTTCCAATTCATTTGCTCATTTAAATGAGTACTTTGTGGATGACACGGTTCCTGGCTTCTCTGTTTGGATGACTTCTCTAGTCTGTTCCTTCCTTCAAGCCATGTACCGCGAAAACGAGACGGGACGTTTGTCCAGGGGTCCCGGGCCGCTGTCTAAACTAAGAATATTTTAACAGAGTGAAGAGCAGACAAGCTCCCATTCCTATCTAAATGTGATGTCATCCCATCTAAATGTGATGTCATCCTATTTAAATGTGATGTCATCCTATTTAAATGTGATGTCATCCTATCTAAATGTGATGTCATCCCATCTAAATGTGATGTCATCCTATCTAAATGTGATGTCATCCCATCTAAATGTGATGTCATCCTATCTAAATGTGATGTCATCCCATCTAAATGTGATGTCATCCCATCTAAATGTGATGTCATCCTATCTAAATGTGATGTCATCCTATCTAAATGTGATGTCATCCTATTTAAATGTGATGTCATCCTATTTAAATGTGATGCCATCCTATTTAAATGTGATGTCATCCTATCTAAATGTGACGGAGCCCTGCTGTGATGGAAGCGTGTCTAGAATAAGCAGGGGAGAGGACGTCGCAGCTCAGAAAATGCCAGTGGCCTGAAAAAGTCTGCATTTTCATGATAGCCTTCAACTGGTTTTTTATTAATTCTTTTTTTTATTTTTTTACAGGGAGGTGAGGGGTTGGGGGTGAGTTTCATTTTTGAGTGCCTTTTATGTGATAGGCTTTTTGCATATGTTTACATGTATAATTTATGTGAGCAGGTCACCCCTTTAGGAAGATGAAGAAACCACCTTAGATCAATTAAATGGCATCTGTAGTCCAAAAGGACGCTACAGTTTGAACCCAGAACTCTAAACCCCAACTCCGTATCTCTACCTGCCAGGACTAAGTTCTGTCAGGCCCTCACTGGTGTTGCTCAGTGGATAGAGCGTTGGCCTGCAGATTGAAGGGTCCCGGGTTCGATTCAGGTCAAGGGCACATGCCCACGTTGTGGGCTCGATTACCCGTGGGGCGAGCAGGAGGCAGCCGATCCATGATTCTCTCTCATTGATGTTTCTATCTCTCTCCCTCTCCCCTCCTCTCTGAAATCAATAAAAATACATTTTAAAAAAAAGTTTTGTCTGAACTCTCTGAGTATGTTCTCTCTCTCCCCCAGCACAGTGAACCTGTAGCTGGTGCACGTCCCCTCCCCGTCCTCTCTGATGTCGCTCTAATTGGCGGTGGACCACGTGGTCGGTCTGCCTGTGAGCCTCCTTCACTCTTACCCCACAACTGTCTACAAAACACAGAAATCCAGTCCTGCCGTTTTCTGCTTAAACACCAGCTCTTCGTTGATGGCTGGATCAGGGCCAGCCTTCCAGCTGCGGTCTGACCCCTCTGCAGTCTCCCTGGCTTTGTGGCCCCCTTTCCACCGCCCTCAGCTCTGGCCTCAGGAGCTCAGCACTCACTGGCTCACTCAGCCTGTGTCCTTGCCTTTAGCCACCTTCTTCCCTAAGAGGAAAACCTCTCTTTCCAAAGCGCCTCCATGGCACCTTACGCCCCTCTCCCCCAGTCTGGTCACTTCCTTTCTCAGCATTTTACCTGCAGGCCTTTCTCTAGGACTTACTCATGCTCTTTTGTGCTTTGTTGGTTTGGTTGGTGGAATCAAAGTTGCTGGGAGAGTAAGCATCTGATTTCTCTTTCTCCTCGTGGCATCTGAGTTAGTAACTTAAGATGCCCCCACGTTACAACATGAGCCCGCTTACAGGAATCCTCTGACCCTTTAACTCTCATTTCTCCTAATGAAGGCAGCGAGCGTTCTTTTAACTGAGACTTGAAACTTCACATAGTTGTCATACTTAGCATTTTAAAGTTTCATTTTGTTTCTGGAGAATTGACATTTGTTAAATATGTAAGACTGAATCTAACAATTCGATAAATAGAGTCAGGTAATCTAAAGACAATTAACCTAATTATTATTTATATCTGCCTAAGTGCTTGCTGACTCCCTTTCCTCCTTCCCCAAGACAGACCTCCTGGGATGGGGTGAGTTTTTCCGATCCCAGGAGAGCAGAGAGCATAATGGGAAGGTCTGCAGGTTACAGCGCTAGGAGCCTTAGGATGCAGTTGGCAGAATTGTCTTGAGGCTTCTGGGACTGCACTGCAACCATTTTAAAATGATGTTCCTGTTTTAGCTTATAGATACTTAGCACGTTTTCAAACAACTAAACAAGAATTATTTATATTGGTTAGCAGAAAACTAATACGTTATTATGAATCCATCATTTAAAGAAATAATGTTCATGGGAATTGTAAACTCTCCTGGGAAATGTCTTCTTTTATTGAAATATGCTAATATCTAAACCATGTTCATGGCTACTCATTATATAATACTGAACAACAAAAAGTGTGTCGCATGGCACTTGATATAGGAGTTATTCTAGATTTCGGGAAAGTGTTGATGGAGGCTTCTTTTCAAGGCAGAATTCTGCTTTTTGGTAATAGTGCATCATGTGTCATCACCACAAACACATGATTTTGCTGAATACGTTAGCCTCAGTGCACCCCCTGAGCCATGGGAAGGGAGAGTGCGAACTGGCTTCCAGAGGAAGATTTGGACTGAACTAGCCATTTCTGCTGTGTGTGTGTCCCCACCCCCGCCCCCACCCCCTTCTTTTCCCATCATCCCTCTGTGGCTGACCGTTGGATTGGTTTTCCCCTTAGGTTTAATGTTGGGGCCCTGCAAACTAACCTGACAAAAGACAGATTAACAAAGGGAAATACTACCCACGAACTGGAGTTCATGAAGAAATACGAGGAGGCAGAAATAGGAGCCTGTAGACCAGCTTAACAAAGGGTGATGGAGTGCAGAACGGAGGCTAGAAAAGAAAAGGGGGTTTTGGTTCCTGGGAGGGGGTGTAACTTCATGGGAAGGTGATGGGAAAATGGTAAATAATCATTGATTAGTGCAGTTTGTTGTGCAGATAAGAATCCTATGTAAAGAGAGGGGACAGTTATGTCCCCTTTACTGGGCTGATTTATGTCCTGCTATTAGCGAGAAAAAGCAGAGCCTATTGCCTGTGGCTCATACAGCCCTTATGCCACAGTGGCTGTTGGGAGGTGGCAAGCTTGGATGCCCTTCAGTAAATGTTTTTATTGGCTGGAAATGCCACACCACCTTAAATCTCTTTACAAAATAAACTGTAGCAATAGGAATGAACTAGAATGCTGTGTGTCTACCTCATTTCAATAAGTTTACAGTAAAGGTGACCATTAATTCTAAAGGATCATTTTAGCCAACCTGAAGACTAAACTATTTATGAGAAGGATCTCCTGATTTCGCTGTTTCTAAATACGTATTTTTTTGTTTCAGGCACGTGTGGTTCTCAAATATAGGCATTCTGATGGGAGTTTGTGTATTAAAGTAACAGATGATTTAGTTGTAAGTATAATTTTTTTATTTGTTGCACACTTTCAGATTTGTGGGAGTTAATCATTTGTTTAAAATTACATAGGATTTATGCAGATTGCCCATTAGGACTCTTATTTTGCATTTCATTCCGAAGTCAAGAACCACATTCTAGATTAGAAGCTACTTTCATAGGCTCTTGAGGAATTGATTCAACTTCATTAAGATAGCATGCCGGGTGGAGTTTAATAATTGCTCTATTTGGACCTTAATCAAGAGGAATATAGAGGCCAGAGCTGGATATAAGGGGACAAAGGTTCTCTCATGGGCATGTGAGAAGTGAGTGATGGTATTTGAACACAAGATACAGGTTTACAGTTATACCTTTCTCCTTCCTGTCTGCTCACTCTTGCCACTTCCTCCGTCCCCTTCACTCCGTGCCTCTCCACATGCTTTCTGCACGCAGTGCTCCCTCCCCTGCAGCTGCTCCCGCCCCTGCAGCTGCTCTTGGTGGAGCCCACAGCACCTCCCTCCATTTACTTGACCTCCTGGCTGCTTTTGATACAGAAAGCCACTCTTGTGGAAATCGTTATTTTGGTGTCTGTGGCTCCATTTTATCTTGTTTTCTTTTTCTTTTAAAAACATTTTTTTTTTCTTGTTCTCTGTTTCTGTTTAGTTCTTTGTTCATTGCTTCACTGATGTGCCCCCAACAATGCTGATTTCTCCAGGACTCTGTCCTTGGTTGTCTTTTGAAACCACTTGTGGAGTAATCTGTTCAGTGATAAAATGCAGTACTGCCTGCAGCTGTCTCTTTTCAATTTTGTACATTTCACTCGCATGGTTTTCTGACTCCTGACTAGTTCTGAGCTGAGCATCCTCACCTCAGCACTCCCCACAGCCAGCCTGTCTGGAACGGACACTTCACCACTTCTCCCCCGGCCTCCTCCTGTGTCCTGGTTTCAGTTCCACTTCATGCTTGTGGATCATGTGGTCCCTTCCTGTCCGTCATTCTCATGTCCACTGTTTCTTCAGTTGCAAAACCTTGAACCTCTGGTACATTCTGTACACTTGTCTAGGCATTTGGGGGTTGGGGATTCGAGCTCCCTCATTTATTTCCTGTCGTGAACTCTCCGTCTTCACTGTTACTCTCTAAGGTTAGAATCTTGTCATCATCACTTGCCTGGACTATTAGAACAGTCTCCTGACCCCCTGCTTCCAGTTCCCCCTTCAGTCGTCCTAGACTGCTGCTGGGGTGGTTTCAAAAATGCGAATTTGATTGTTATAACCGCCTTAAAACCTTTCGTGGCTCCTCCTCACTCAACGTACACTCCACCCTCACCCCTCCTAAGCTCTTGTCTCTCCTGTGTTAATTTAAAGCTCAAGAGTTCTCATCAGACCACAGCAGTATTAACATGTTGCTTAACTGGTCGTTTCTGAGAAGCTTCTGAGAGAGTTCATGCAGTGTTTTATCCACAGCAGTGGCAAACTTAAGGAATGTGATTGCTGGAGGCTTGGAAACGTGGATGTGATTTTCTTAGTATGACCTCCAGAGAGAAGAGAGCAGCACAGCGTTAGCAAAGACTCACACTTTTACCCAATCACACATCTGGTACATGGTTGATCATCTGCTTCTGCATAGTTAACGTGTACTTTTAAAATTTCTGACAGTGTCTGGTGTACAGAACAGACCAAGCTCAAGATGTCAAGAAGATTGAGAAATTCCACAGTCAACTGATGCGACTTATGGTAGCCAAGGAATCCCGCAGTGTTGCCATGGAAACGGACTGACTGGTTTGAGATGAAGACTGCTTGCCATGCTCTTAGGAAGTAAATCTCTTTTGAATTTGAGGCAGTGTTGGGACAGAAAATCCTTACTGTAACTGTTCAGAAGCCAAGAGACCATTTTTTTGTACTTTGCTTCTTATGTTTACTTTAGAGAGCGAGGAATGCAAATGCTTTCAGTTAGAAAGCCTTTATTTATTTTTGGAAATGGAACAAGAAATGTGTCTATCTTGGAAACTTTCTGCAGATTATTTGATGCTGGGAAAAATATGTAATTATTTCTTTCAGTAAGTTTGTAGCAATAATTTGAAAATGAGATATCAGGAAAAGCCTATTCTTCCTTAAGTTTAGTTTATTTGTCTTTAAAAAAAATTAAATGTAACCATTTTGCTGGGTTGATCATTTCTTTTGGGGCATAACATTTGTGCAGTTGATGACCAACAAATATAAAATATGGTAACTAGAATTAACTGTGCACATACTGATTATGTACAGTATAGTGAGTCTCAATTGTATCTAAAAGTAATTATGAAAACAAGTATGCTTTATCTTGAACTTTGCAAATTTAAACTATTTTTTCATACAAGGGATTATTAGTATTAATAAGCTTGTTGAGCAAACTTTGAATCTAGTTCTCAGTGCTTAAAACACATGAACAGAACGGTCACTGATAGAGGGAAGCCACCACATTGCAGGGCATTTGTCACAGATTTCCCATGTGGACTTGCTCAGAAGGGCTAAGGATTATGTGAACTGTTATGTTGTTTAACATAACTGTTGTCATGTTAAATCTTAGCATACCTCTACCATACCCCTGCCCATGCCTCTAATTACTTAACCAAGGGGTTAAACACGACCACCACAACTGTTAGGTTTCCATTAAGCCAGAAGAATATTATTTGATATTTATCTTATATCTGTAACCTGAACTTTACCAAGTAATGTAATGTTCATATGTTGATTCCTACATTAAAATATTTTTTGTTAGGAATTTGTTGTGTTGAGCAGCATTTTAACATGGAAAGTACTATTAGCCATATGAATTTTGACATGTTTCAAAGAGGTCAGTAAATAAAATATGCGAATATATATTGTTTGTCTTGAAGTTTTTAACTTCACAAGAATTACTCGTTTCTTGACTGGCATATACTGTATTCATTTAGTCTACATTGAGCATAATGATACTGTGAGTAAATGTTGTTTGTTTTGTTTCTTGGTACTTTACATTTCTCTGAGCTGTCCTGTGTTTCCATGGCACGGTTCTTTTCTGGATCAAGGAAAGTGATCTAAGAGTGTTGGGTTTTGTGAGTTTGTGGCGGTTTTTTCCCCCATAATTAATGGGATCAGGAGTTTTTGGGGCCTTTTTCTTTCTCATTTACATCTTCCACTTGTTGGCACTACAAAGGCAACCAGGAAGGGAGGGGCTAGCAGGTTATTTTTCGTTCCGCCCGATGTACCTGGAAACTCGCCAGAAGCTTGTACAGAGGAACAGCCTTTGTTCTGATTTTTAAAAATAATTTATCCCAGAGAGCACTTCATACGCATTCCTCTCCGTACCAACGGCTTCTGACCGGAAGCGGGAGAGCTGTGTCCACATCTTGCCCTGCTGAGTTGGACTCTGCATCTTATTCTATGGACTGTGGATTGCGGATGTGTAGATGGTACCTCGAAATCTCTCGGTGTCTTGGGTTTCATATCCTAAGGAGTGAGGTTGCAGTCTCACCGCAGTTACTTTACATAACAGCAGCATCATTGAGCTATAACTCACTATAAATTCCCCCCATAAAGTGTACAGTTCAGTCGGTTTTTCGTACATTCAGACTGTGGTGATGCGACCATGACCAGCACTGAAGTCACTGCACCAAACTGCGGGGAGGGAGCAGCGAAGCTGGGCGGTCCCCCAGGTCGCCGAGGGGGGCGGGACCGGACCGGACGTCCCAGCCGGAACGCCCCTTAGGGGGTAGAAGGGGGGGCCTGGGCGGGGTCAGTGCCTGTGCTCCCGAGATCAGTCGCGCGGGAGTCGGGGAACCGGGAGCTGGAGGGTCCCCGCCGAGCCTGGAGCCAGCGACCGACCGTAAGCGCCCGGTGCGGGGCGCGTGGTGCGCAGCTCGGGGCCCAGGGCGCTCCTTGGGCGGCGCGATCGCGCGGGGTGGGGGGTGGGGGGGGTCGGGAAGGGGGGAGGCGTGCACGGGGAGGGGCCGTGGGCTGGGGACGCTGTGGGGCCGCACCGTCTGGCCGGGCCCCGGTACAACTTGCAGGCAGACCTAGGCTCCCACCCCGCCGCCCGGGGGCGCAGGCGGGAAGAGGCCACAGTCCGGGCAGCGACGGCGCGGCCCCCGCGGCGCTGGGCACTGCCGGGTTGTGCGGGAGATGGTGACTCCACGGTGCCTCTGGGCCCCACAGGGACATGCACGCGCGTGTCCCCGGGAGGCCCTCGCGATGCGCTTTCCTGCCGTCTCTGCCCCCCCTCCTCCCCTTCTTGTTCTCCAGCCCGCTCAGCCCGCCCCTGCCCTGCGCAGCCCGCCCCTGCCCTGCGCGCAGCCAGGAAACTTGGCCTTTGGGGCTGTGAGAGTTCATGGGAGCAGAACCCCAAGGAAATGT